AGACGAGAAGGATAATAGACAAAGAAAGCAAAGGACCAGTGAAGTAAAAGAAGAAAAAAATTATGTGTTTCACAATTAAATATGCCATAACATCAACAGAGGTGGGGATTGAATTCAAAAATAATTGCAAATCACAAAAAAAAAAACCTTTGCAGTACTGGACGCTATATATCGAAAGAACGTATAATCTGCATAGGTGCAATTATTTACATACCCAGAAGTGATCTCCATATTCTTAGGGACTGTTAAGAATAAAACCATTATATAATAATAATAATAATAATAATGTCATTGACAATTACAGTTCATCTCCTTCCACAATACCTATAGGAATGTTAGACATCGACAGAAAAATAACCGTAGAGTAGACTGTACCGTCTTTCAATGTAATGGTGAAGTATTTCCACAAGGTTCTTTCTCTAAAATAAGAAAGTGTATGGCCTTTGAGAATAAGACTATCAAAAAGAAAAGAAAAGGAATAAAGGAGAAACGGATTTACAAGGTACATAATAACTATATCATCATCACTGACAGAGGGAACCAGAGTCAAAATATTATACTCCCATAATAGGAAAGAAACAAAAAAAAAAAAGATAAAATTCTTGCCTGAGGGAATTACCTTCCAACATTTTCACTCCTCTAGCCTATGTGTGAAATGTCATTTCTTTCCACAGCTTTCCTTCTCTCTTCCTCCCTCTTTCCGTTTCTTTCCCATGGACCCGCATACACATTCTTCGCCGCTCTAGAAGTTGTGCCTGTTGAAATCACTTATCTTTCCTTTGTTCTTTTTGTTTTTTTCGCCTCGCGGTTTGTTTCTTTTTAATTTCTTCCGTCAGAAGTATGTGCATGATCAGGAGAATGAATTGGGGAGTGAAGGAGGAATAATGATCCTTTCTCATATGAAAGTGTTTTTTTTTTCTCTTTTTCTTTTCCCTGTTTTCGCATTTCAGTAGTGCTGAGAAACCAAAACAATACACTGATGAGCAGAGATGTGCTTGCTTTCTCCCTCTCTCTCTTTCTCTCTCTCTCTTTTCCCTTTTTCTTTCTTGCTACACTATCATTTTTTTTCTTTTTTTTTTCCTTCTTTTTTTTGTTTTTGTTTTTGTTTTTTTGCTTTTGTTTTTCTTCAATTTGACGCTTTCGTTTGCATCAATGTGTTGCGTGTACACGTGCGTCCCTTATCTCATCATCATTGAAAGCTTTGGTGATGATATCAAAACAACTTTCTGTAGTTCTTCCCTTTAAAAAAAAAAAATTCTTTTCTTTCGCATTCTGTGAAGAGCGAAGGAATGCAGTGCCACACCGCTCTGTGACACAAATACGCGGACACAAAAAAACAGGTGCAAATGTTGCCTCGTAAATCCTTCGTTATTTTTTTTTTCTCACACATTTCATTTTCCTCCTTCAGGTTTCCATTCTTTCTCTCTCACCTCTGCTAATTTCCTTCTTGTCTTTTTTCAGAAACTTGTTGCCTCTTTCCTTCTTCCATTGCTGTCACCGCTGTTGTTGTTGTTTCCACTAATATTTACTTCTTCTTCTTCTGCTTGCCTGGCATTGGCTTTGCCTGCTTGACGCCTTCAATACTTACCTTTGGGTCAAGCGCCAGACAATCGGTGACGGCACCCCATCCAACAGTGATCTTGCCCTCACGAATGGTGAACTTCAGTCCCTTCTCCACTGGCATCGGGTATGCGAGGGTGAGAACGAGTTCACGGTTATCACCTGGCATACATACGAGAGTCTTTTCAAATTCGCGCAGTTCCGCTTCTTTCTTCTTCTGATCATCCGCATCACGGCCATACTTCTTATTCAGCTCCGCCGCAAGTTTCTCACTCTCCGGGAAGTTAATATCCGCAGTGACATCAGCGCAATGGAAGAAGAGTTGTGGACGGTAATGTGGACTAAACGCTGTGTGTCGACCACCCTCTTCCTTTGTGAGGACGTACACCTGCGCGCGGACACGGTTGAAGAGAGTGGTGGCACCCGGTGCGGAGAGCACCATACCGCGCTCCACATTATCTTTAGACAAACTTGTCGTGTCGCCCGTACCGATGATACTCGCCCCAACGGAGTCACCTGGCATGCACTCATCAAGTGTTCGGTGGTACATCTCAATCCCACTCACCTTTACGGTCGCCTTCTTGGCGCTGAAGCCTGAAAGTTCGGCATCCGCACCAACCTTCATAAGTCCTTGATCCACACGTCCAGTCACAATAACAGTCTTCTTGTCTTTTCCAATCTCATAGACGTGTTCAATGGCCATAAGAAAAGGTTTATCAGTAGCTCGTGGTGGGTCTGGGATCCACTCATCACACTTTTTAATAAGTTCCACAATTTTGGCCTCATTCTCAGCATCACCTTCCAAAGCTTTTACAGCAGATCCACGAACAAATGGTGTCTCTTCAGCAGGGAACTTATATTTCTCCAAAAGCTCTCGTACCTCCATCTCCACCAATTCAATCATATCTTCCTGTCCATGCATCATATCACATTTATTAATAAAACAGACAAGTGCAGGTAAACCAATCTGTGAACAAATTAATAAATGTTCACGGGTTTGTGGCATACATCCATCATTAGCTGCCACAACGAGAATACCACCATCCATTTGGGCGGCACCTGTAATCATATTTTTTACGAAATCCATGTGACCTGGGCAATCTATATGACCATAGTGGCGTTTCTCTGATTCATACTCCACATGTGTTGCATTGATAGTAATTTTACGGCTCTTTTCTTCTGGTGATTTATCAATAGCGAAATAATCAAGTGCCCTTGCTTTACCAGCCTTCGCAAGTACAGTTGTAATGGCTGACGTTAGCGTTGTCTTACCATGGTCAACGTGACCAATGGTTCCAATAATAAGATGTGGCTTGTCACGAAGGAATGCTTCCTTCTTAGGAGCCAAGAGGGCACTACGAAAGAGTGTGCGAAACATTTCAGGAGTAGGAAAAACCCTGTGATGTCTCTTTGTTTAAGAACTATATAAGAAAGTAAATAAATATGTATGCGCGCGTGAATATGTATGTGTAGGTTTCTGAGTGTATATCTCTGAAAGGAGATTCGCTCTTTACTTTTTATGTACTCGCTGGTTCCTTTAATGAAACAGGAGGATTAACTTCCTTTTTTCAAAATCAAAAAGAAAAATCAATAAAAATAATATACCAAAAACAGAAGGTAAAAATAATTTAAAGAAAATCATCTCTTGCATCTTCCCCATTGGGTTATCAGATTATTTCTTTTTATCGTATTTGTTTTTGTATTATTTATTAGTTTTTTTTTTTTTTTTTTTCATTGGTGTAAGAGAATATAAGTCATTCTTTTCTTTTTTTCTGCAGGAGATTAAAAAAAAAAAAAAAAAAAATGGCGTTAATACTTCTCCCTAACCCAGAGTATTACCCCTGATCATACTGTTTCGCTCTATTTATTTTTTTTCTTCCACTCAATACAGACTTTCTCATTTACATAATAAACACTGATCTGTTCGTTTACAGGTGGAGATGCCACTGTTTTTTTTTTTTTCTTTTCGTACTCTCACCCACCCCCCAACATTTCAGACTCTTTTTTTTTTTTTTCTCACGCGTGAATACAAAACACACATACCCACATGCGTATTCTACAAAGAATACATTCTATATCGCACTCCAATAAACAGTAACTACGGCGTAAATATGAGCTGAGAGATCGTGAGCGTGATTCACCCAACCATCGGCCTGACTGTAGTAACAGCTGGAGCAAACATGTACTCCCGCTCCACACTTTCTCATAATCATACAATGAACCACATACTTGTACGGACGGCGCATCCCCAACAACTTTTCCATGATACCATCACAGATAAGTTGAATCCATCCTTGAGCTTTTATGTGATCATAGTGCTGAGCATCATCCTCCCCACCCTCATCATCAAAATATGGACTAAGAACTTGCAAAATGATATTCTTCACATCATTTGGTGGAACGCCATTAATTTCCACGGTGTCATCCCGTGCAGCTTCTGCAACTGTGACTGCAGACTCTCCATCCACACTCTCATCCCCATCTGGCATTTCGGCTGTGTCTATCCGTGCTGGGGACTCTGAAGCCGCTGTGGTGGTTGCTCCCTCCGCTGTTGGGGCTCCTCCTGTCACCGTCGTCGTCCCTTCCTCACCGCTGCCAACAGAAATAACTCGACTATTTCTCGCACCTTCATTCCCTGCAGGCACGGAGGCACTCACCGTCTGATCCAGCGACGGGGGCGCATCTTGTCCGTTTTCTTCAGCCATTGACTGTTTTCTCTAATATGCAGCACCGAAGTGTTTTCTCTTCTTTTTTTTTTTCTTTATTCAATTCCCCCCACCCTTTCCTTGTTAAGATTTGCAATATACATATAATTTCAGTGATCATGAAAAATTCGTACATGAAAAGAATAATTCAAAAAAAAAAAAGAAAGAATAAAAATAAACAAAAAGAACATACCACAAAGCCCTAGGGGAAAGAAAACTATAAAAATAACATACCAAAGAAAAAAAAAAAAAAGAATTATCAGTAAACAAGTCAGGTAAAAAAAAAAAAAAAATGTCCAAAAATCCACCAAATATTTTTTTTTCCCCCTCTTTAACGTTAAATGAGACTTCGAAGACGGGCAACATCTCTTGCCTCTAACCCAAGGATGGAGCTACAATAGTCACTGCGGTTCAAAACTGTTTGAAGAAACTCACGCAGTCTTGCCGGGGTGCCACGCAACGAGACTAGACCAGTACCGTCCCGCCCAGCAACACGAAGAATTCGCCAGCGGTGAAGAGCCGCAACAGCACTACGAAATGCGGAGCGATCCAAAGCAGCTGCAGCTGCTGTTCCCATAGATGAAGCTACATCTTCCAGTAGGTCCACTACTGTCCGTGATACACCTCCTTCATGACGAAGATAAACATATGCGAGAATAAGTATCATCTCACGTGTACAATATCCCAATTCTACAAGACGGCAATCAGAGAACATATCACCAAAAAGAAGGTGATGTTCACAAGAAGAGGGAAACACTGTTATACTCTGTATATTTCTTTTTCTAGAAGGATTTCTTGAAATTTCTGTTACCCATTGAGCACGTACGGCATCTGGTGCAGTTGACAAACTTCTACTAAAGAAGTTATATCGTCCTTCCCTTACCAAACGAAGTTTAAGCCATGAAAAAACAGATTCATGACTGGTTTTATCAAGTAAAATCAAACGTCCAGAAGAAACTTCAGCAAATGCGCTGGCGACTGCCGCCATAACACGTCCCGCTGTAGCGCCTATACTTTGCAATTGACCAGATATTCGTGCAATCCGCCAAGCAAATAAATTATCATCTGTTGACTTTTGTCTCCCCTCAGAATCAGCTGTAAAAGCAGCAGCAGGATCAACAGAATCTAATTCATTAATGACAACGTTTACAATCTCTAGCATTGATTCTTGTAAAAGTTGAGTTGAATCACCACCTACTAAATTATCATTTAAGCCATTTTGTAGTTCCACTTTACCCTCATGTACTTGCTGCTGATGATCCAGGTTCTGATGCTGTAACTGCTCTTTTGATGCACTTATAACATCAAAGCACCATCCTGTAAAAGGTTTATTTATGTAGTTATTTTCATCATTCAATGAATTTTCTTCACGTCCTTTCTTCTGATTAGTTTTTCTTTTCGTTTTCACAGTCATTTTTTCTATATTATGTTGCAAACGTTCCTTAATCTCTACGAGACAAGCCCGAGCCACTCGAGTTGCACTCCATGGAAGAAGTGGGATACACCGAGTCTCACATGTAAGCCGACTGGAGAGTCGTTTTTCAAGTTGCCTAATATCCGGCGTAGATGACGTCATCACGAGTGACATCCCACCACCACGACCATCACTCTCATGCATAAGACCGGAAAGTACATAGAGTAACTGATCACACCAAATACCAAATCTCTCTACACGACGAATACAAACCACAAGATTTGTACCATAACTTTTCATTAAAAGAAGAGAACGTTGCAAAGCAGGTAAAGCACTTGATGCTCCACCACCAGCATAAGCTGTTGTGGAAGTCACCAAAAGTGGGTCCATATCTTCATCATCAGAGCATTCATCTTCATTTTCTGAACCTGTGGCAGTAGTAGTAGTAGTAGTAGTAGCAGCAGAAGGACGAGAAGAAATAACTGTAGAATCGCGACCTCGCTTTGTAGTTTCTTTTTTACTTGATTCCTGATTCTCTGTACGTGTTCTTTTTAGTTGACCGTTCGCAGATTTATGACGTCCTATTAATTCATCATTGTCACTACCCGCCCCACTACTTGCATCACCACCTTTTTCTTCTTCTTCTGACTGTAAAAGTTTATGAAAACCAAATAGATTCCCAAAATCAAATGTCCCTGTACGCAAGGACCAATCTGCTGCTCGAAGTTTTGCTGACTGTGGACTTTTAAGAAATTGTAACAACTGCTGGGCGGTGCAGCGGAGTGCGTCCTCATCACTGTTCAATGTATCCCCGTCAAGATAAAGCACGAGTGTCTGTTCCCGTTGCATGCACTCTTGTGCGACGAGGCGGAGAATACGGTGTTCGCCGCAGCCGCGCGGGCCCCACAGTGCGTGGCAGGAGCGGTGGCCAAGCGCACAGGAGGCGGCGATGGCGCTGCGGACGGAACGATAGGCGTTCTCGTGGGCACTGCACTCATCGCGGGCGAGTGAGAGAAACGCGGGGCCGGTGCAGGCCGTCAGACGTGCGTGTGCCCGACAGCACTGCACAGCGAGTTGGTGCTGTGCGTAGGCAAGAAACTCTTGCTGTTCGTGTATATGTTGCTCCTGATTTTCTTCTTCTCCTTCTTTTTCTTCTTTGTCTTGTTGTTGTTGTTTTGCTGAAGGTGGAGGTGTTTCCTCTTTCCGTTTATACCGGCGGGTTCTCATCGTCCAGAGACGGAAACGAAAGGGGAAGAAAATATTTTCCCCCCTCACTCTAGTCAATAGAGAACAGTCGTGCGAAAAATCAAGAAAAGAAAGAGCAAAAAATAATAAAAAAAAAAAAAGAGGATAGGTATATATATATATATATATATATATATATATATAAAGAAATAGAAATACCATATAGATCATTGGCTCTGTTATAAGAGATATAAAAGATTGACGTCACAACACCTCTCTAAACGCTCATGATGCCATAACGAAAAAAAAAAAAAAAAAGTAAACCAATTCAAGGAGAGGAGAAACAATGCAAACGAAAGCAATAAAAGAAAGAAAAAAATGTTTCTCTAATCATTATTTCGATGTATCTTGACAAGATGAAAGTTTATGAATAAGCAGAGAGTACGTGTTGGGAACCTTTTGATAAGCTTTAAGAGGAAAATATTTCACATGCTCAAACGTTTTTCTCTCTTCCAATATCTCTATTTTGAAACAATTTTCATTGTAAATACTACCAAGACACGGTAATACATTATTTCGAGAAAACTCAGATTCTTCTGTCCATCCATTGTAAACTTTACCTCCAACCTTTACAACTCGTACCATCTGCTGCAATACGCTACAGAAAAGTGTTTCATTATAGACGTGATAAATAGAGCCAAAACTGTATGCGTGATCAAAGAAATTAGATGGCAGCCACTCCAAACGAGTCCCATCAGCTACACAATATTGATTTTTCTTTGTTGTCATTTCTCGAGCGTATTCTACAGTTTTATTACTAATATCAATTCCAAGACCAACAGCACCAAAGAAAACATTCATAAACTCCAAATGATGTCCACAACCACTTCCCCAATCTAGTAAACGATCACCTGATTTTACCTTCAGTAATTCTGCTATTACACGAAGAATAGCTTCATGATCATGAATAGATACACGATGCCATATCCCATCCTTCTTGCAATTATTTGCTCGTCGATCATACTTCTGTGCAACACTTGTAGGTTTTTTGCGTGGCAAATGTTTTAATGGTATTTGACGCTCTTCAAATGAGGCATCATACGGCGGACACGTTGGCCACTTAACATTAACTATAGATTCTTCTCCAGAAATATGATGAACTGAAACATCATTTTCTGATTCTTTATTTAAAAAACAAAACATCTGCTTTGGTCCTCTACATCGAAATGGCACAGCATCCACGTCATTGTACACATTATCTGAAATACCTTTCACTTCTTCTGCTGTACCTTTGGTTATAACAAGAGAATACGTGTTAGGAATGAACTGTCTCGCTTTTAATGGAAATATCTTTACATGCGAAAATGCATCTTTTTCTTCTACAATTTCGTATTTCACAGGTAAATCTGAAAAACATAATGGCACATATTCACGTCTGAAATCATCTTCCTCACTCCAACCATTATATACTGTTCCCAAAGGCTTCACCACTCGAACCATCTGTCGAAGCACATTACAAAACAAAGTATGGTTGTAGACATGAAGAACAGCACCAAAACTAATAGCATGATCAAAAAAATTTGATGGAATCCAACTAATATTTGTTCCGTCTGCTACACAATGAAGAAGATTAGGGGATGTAAGTTTACGTGCATAGAATATTGTAGCATTCGCCACGTCAATTCCAACACTACTTACACCATAAAAATCATACAAAAACTGCATAGTGTGTCCACAACCACTTCCCCAATCAAAAACGAATGAATTATTTTGAATACGGCCTAACTTAACAATACCATGAAGAATATCTCGATGATCTTCCGCACGAACACGATGCCAAACACCATCTGATACGCAATTGTGAGCCCTTCTGTTGTATTTCATAGCAACACTCGTTGGTATCTTGCGTGGGAGATGCTTAAGAGGAATTTGTAATCTATCTAAAGCTGCAGGATCATACGGTGGACATGCAAGACCTCGCAATGAAGTCCGAACATCTTCACCCTCAGCCATACCAGACTCTGCTAAAAGATCATTTTTACCACCTTCCACTACAGAAACTGTCTCCACATTCACCTTCAACTTCACATCATCATTATGCAAAGGTAAACCCCGAGAAGTAACCCAAAAAAGCCACAAAAACATCATTATAAAAAGAATCATCATAAAAAACGTTAAAGATCGCCAACCGCTTCGTCGCATAGGGCGGCTCTGAAACCTATGCGTTTGTGCAGACGCCAAATAGTTCTTCATTTACAACTAAAACTATAGAAAAAAAAAAAAAAAAATAAGAACAAAACAAAAACATAAAAAAAAATACAAAATAACAACAGCAAACAAAAAATCAAAAAAAAAACCACATCATAAATAAGCATGGACACCAGACGTACTCGAGCATCTCCGCCCCCTGAAATCACCCCACTGTGAGCGCAGTGCACAATGCAGGGTGTTAGACGAGGGCGTCGTGTGAAAGGGAGAGAGGAGGGGGAGAGGGGAGGAATGAAAGATAGTGGATAGCAAGAGGTCGCTCAACATTTGTACACATTCAAGAATCCTCATTGGTGTAATCGGTCCGCCTGTCGTTAGACAAGTTTTTCATCATCGCGGCCAGCATTGCAGGTGAAGTGAAGCACAAGAAAAAAAAAAAAAAGGTGAGTGGGGGGCGTACGTACACGCGTGTACGTGTATGTGTGTGTGTATCTCAGCAACGTGTACGGATTATCATCGTATTGGTTCAGCGCACAGTGCTCTGATATTGGGATCCGTCTGTAATTGGTTCATCATGTCGGCAGCAGTACCATCTGTGATAATAATAATAATGGTGATGGCGATAGCAGGAGCAGAAAGTCTTGGAGAACCACCACCCACAGTACGCCACTAAACAGGCATAGCACCGTGGCTACGGGCCTCCTCATGACCGCATCGCGAAGGAGTGAGGGGTGGTAAAGGGGAAGACGACATCAGAAAACCGCATCATCGCGTCAGCAAAGCACAGTGTCAGCTGTGACGGTTGTTGCTACTCAGCAAAGATGTTTTGCTCAGACGCGCACTACAACTTTTGTCTTCATCCACGGATGCGGTTGTCACTCACACGTACATACATACACACATATGCACAGGATGTCGTCCACACAAAGGACAGCAGATCTCCGTCCCAGATATCACCACGCAGTGCACACAACAGCACAATGCAAGGCGGTTGGAGGAACGTCTAGCACAGTTAAGGTAAGAAAAAAGAATAATAGAGCCGTACACATTACTCAGTATTTGTGTTCTTCTATTGTGTTCATATTTTGTTATTTCCCTATTATTTGAGCAGTTTAAAAATATATTGTATTTCTCGAATGTTGTTATGATTCCTTGCGTAAAGAATTGCACCTAACTTTTCTTTAGTTCCTATTTCATCTGAGATTTTCGTACCATGAATATGCAATCCCCATTGCATTAGAGCACTAACAGGTCTCCCACTTGCATGAATGCTTTGAATGGTTTTAGGATAGGACTTGAAAGCCATCATAAGAAAAAAAAAAATCACAACTATCATGAATATTTAGTGGAAAAAAAGCATTCGTTCGTAAATAGTATTGCAATTTCTTTGAGGTTTTCTTTGTTACCATATCTGTTCAAAGGATACAAAAAAAAGTTGTAACACCTGTTCTGCCACTCGTTGCTCCGTACTGGCAACTTGTTTTTTCGTTTTTTTTTTTTTTTGAAGAAAGCAAAAAGTTAGCCGTTATACAACTCGTTTCCTAAGAGATGGAAGGAAAATAGAAGACTTCATGTATGATTTTGCTTGTTCGTGCTTTAAGAGAGTTGATTGAGGGTATGTGCAATTCCTGTGATTTCAAGGAAATCCTCCACTCATCAAAATATATAAACACTGAGGATAAGAATGCAAAGACAATGTAGTCTATTATGTAACGGAAATCGACACAATAAGAGATTGAGTTATTCCAAAACAGCTAGTTATATCACACAACGAAAAGAACGGAAATGCAATTAATTGATCATCAGTCGTATTATTACTCAAAAATCAAACCAAAAAAGCAGCAAAAAAAAAAAAAACCATAATAAACTAACCATGTGCATGTCATATATGTAGGATCTCACCTGCAAAGGAAAGGTAACAGTCCTCAAATGACTAAGCTTAAGGCAAAAACAAGAAGAATTGTCAATAGAGGTACCTGCACCTGTTTGCTTAATACTGAAGAGCCTTCAACCATCAATTCTTTAACTTTCTCATACTTTTCAAAGGATTCTTTTGAGGGATTGAGTACAAAACGGGTTACCAATCTCTCATCTATCCCTCTGGAATTCCGTGCCAATTGCTTTACTGCTTTTAACTGCGCCATTTCTGCTTCATTCTTTGCCTTCTCGGCTTTTTTTGCGGCACTTTCCGCACGAACAGCGGCATTTTTACAAGCCTGAACTGCGATATCAACAAATTGCGCCAACAGCTCAGATCCAGCCACCAAATCTCCAGCACTCTTATTATCAGAGAGAGCGGCATCCACTGCTGCCTCACCATAACCCACTACACGTTCAATATAGCTTCTCTGTGTCTCAGATATTTCTAGTGCCATTCGAGCCTCTTTAACGGATTCAGTCGACACCGACGCACCTATAGCGACAACTCGGGACAATTCCATAGCTGTTTCCCTCGCACCTCCTTCCATCACATGTACAAGTACATCAAGTAGGGCTTTGCACCTCTCCACATTAGCAATAGCGGAATCTGCTCGTAATACTGCAACTCTGGCTCTCCAAGCACAATCACAAGATCGAGAGGACTGCAATCTTAACCTAGCCAAAGATTTAAGAGAACGGTTAACTAGTCGCACATTTGGAATCTTTGATCGGCGAGAAATATTAGCAGGTCTCTCCTCAAACTCATCAGGCAGTCTGGAATCTCCCCCACAACTTACACGAAAACAATTACTATTCTCAGCACGAGAAGAATCGTCACAACAAGATGAATCGGCACGACTATCAGTCAAAGAATCATTACCAAGGCCAACACAAGGTTGAACTTCATCAACCATAGCATCACAGGAGCCAAACACCCATAACACGATAACAAAATTAATCGACAACAATTGGATAACACACGAGTACATCAAAACAAAACAACTAAAAAAAAAA